CTTAATAAGGGTAAAAGCAGAAATCCATTAAGGAATGGATTGGGTGATGGCAGAAAATGATTAATTATAAAGAAATTAATTCTGGTCACTGAAATTCTGAGAGGGTGATTTGGAATGGTTTGAGATGGGAATTAGTAGTAAAGCAAAAGATAATTTAGGGATATTAGAACCAGTAGAGAGTAGGAGAATTAAGGAAAGAGTAGGGAAGCATGGTGATGTTGGCATGTTTCTGTATTGTCTCAACAGCTGGGATCATGTAGAATTCCGTTTCATAGTGGTATAAAGTCAAGGCCTTGAAATTTATGGTCATGAAGGTGTCGTGCAATTCCATAAATCCATTTCCCCAGGATTCCAAAAATTTCATGTTGTGCTTGAGACTGGTAAAGTTGCTCATTGGGAACTTGAGGTAGCTTGCAGGACAATCCATTTTGATGTGTTAATTTTAGGGTCTCTTTTTCTCAGCACATCTTGAGACCTGATGCTGTGAGTGGGAGCCAAGGATCCCATGACATGCCACTCTCCTTGCCTGGAACTTGGATTGTAGATCTTGGGCAGGGGTAGACAAGTTGGCTAAACTAGAGAACCCCTGACCTAATTTCTCTCAGGCCTTGCCTGGGAGAGCTGTCATTCAGACCATGTAGACCTTAACAGAGAGCCTGCAGAACATCAGAGCTCTAGGAGGCAGAAAGCATTCAGATTGTCTTTCCCTAGAGACCTGGAAAGCAGCCAGGCAAAATTTTGAAGCCAGTCCAGCAAATAAACTACATACTTCTTGGTCCATTAACTCCTTGGCTTCTGAATCCCATATGTATAGTATTTTTCTGTTTTTGTTCTTTATGTATGGAGTGCCTATTTACCCACCTATTTTGGTTTTTTGGTAGTTCTGGGGTTTGAACTCAGGGCTTCACACTTGCTAAGCAAGCACTCTACCACTTGTACCAAACTGCCGGCCTCCACCTATTTTATAATCCATTGTCTCTCTCACATTAAGATAATACTTGTCCCCAAAGTATTAAAACCCCTTGCCAAATAATGTTAAATGAATCCTTATAAATAATCTTATCTCCATTCTTCTCTGATTGATTTTATGCTAATTACTGCTATGTCTATTAATATATTTCTTGATCCTCAGTGTTGTCATTTGGTTGGGAGATTTGAACTATAGACTTTGCATGCCTGATGCTAATGAGGTGAAGAGTCTTATTAATAAGAGTGACCTTCAGAGACTATTGAAATTTGACCAGGTAAGTAAAGTTTTGATGGCAAAGATTATTAGGGTTATAATAATATAATAGATAGACACACGGGAAGTATATCTTACTCTAGGAAGAGAGAAAGATCATATTGTCTTGCAAAACTGTGTGACTAGTAATGTATTAAGTACATACAAGATTTGTAGTGCTTCGATTAAGTGTTTGGATGGGAAGAGGTAAGGTAACATTAATGATATAAAGTAAATATAACATGTAGTAAATCATTATCAAGCAGAGATTTCAGAGATTTGTATAAATGAGCTGGAGAATGGGTGGGATTAATTAGAGGACACTTCCTGGAGGAAGTGGGTCTTTGCTATGTTGATGTGGTTTGGCAGATGGAAAGGGGAAAATTGTTCTATGATTACTTGGCAGGCTGAACAACAGCTTGGAGGTAAAAGAGGGAGGTCCTTGTGAGGGAAATTGGGAAGCAAAGTAAAGAAGCCTGTTTAGGCTGAATAACATAAGCTGTGGCCTAATGGGAACTGATTAATAAATTGAGGCAAGCTAATATATAGCTGTTGATGTTAAAGCCTGTGGAAAAAGCATTGATTCTGTAACATTTAGATAAAACCTGATATTCAAGAACACAGTTTCCATATAATATGAGGCAATATATTTGCCTTCAAGCCTGGCATGTGACTTGGATTTTTATTTAAGTGAATGCTTCTCTATTTTATTTTTGATTAACAAATGAATTGTGCAGGCTAATGATGTTCATTGTGATATATCAAGGCATTCATACTGAGTACACTGATGAAATCCAGCTGGGAAGGCTGGGGATGTGGCTCAGTGGTAGAGCACTTCCCTAACATACAGAAGGCCCTGAGTTTTAGCCCCAGCACACCCCTACCCGCCAAAAAGTCTAGCCTCTTTTTATCCACTGTCCTCCCATCCTTCCCAGCCTGATAATCACTATTCTACATTCAGGTTGACTTTTTTAGCTTCCACGTATGAGAGAGAACATGTGGTATTTGTCTTTCTGTGCCTGGCTTATTTTATTTAACATAATTATCTCCAGTTCTCTTCGTTTTGCTGTAAATGACCAGATTTCATCCTTCATTACGGCTGAATAATATCCCATTTTGTATATATACTACATTTTCTTTATCAGTTCATCAGTTGATAGGTACTTGTGTTGATTTCATATCTTAGCTATTATAAATAGTGCCAAAACAAACATGGGTGTGCAAGTATCTCTTTGGTATGTTGATTTAATTTTCTTTGGATATATACCCATAGCAGCATGGTTCTGTCATAAAAGTGAATGCTTCTTATTGAAGAAATAGGTTTTGATTCAAATGTCTTTAAATCCTTACAAGAGCCTTTTTTACTTTTAGACACAGTCAGAATTCTGGTGATTTGTAGTAGAATGATTTTTGTAGTGAGCCTTTCTTGGCTGCCTACCTTCACATTGAGGTTGGATGCTAATTTCTTTGCATTTCTTTCACTTTCTTGCCTCCAAAAAGAGTACAATTGGAATAAATTTTGATTCTCTTATAACTCTGGTAAATATTTAAGTGAGGATAACTTTCAAAACAATTTTTAACTATTCACTGAATTTGGTTTGGGGAATTATCTATCCAGCGTTTGTGTGCTTTTTAAAAATTATAATAGTGCTGGATGGTTCCTATCTAGTTTCAAGGAACTTATGATTATTTGGAGTTCATGTTTCCTTTTTAAAAACCCTGGCCACTATTTACAACAACAAAAATTAGCAATGTGTTAATAAACATCCTATCTGAGGATGAGCTTAGATGCTATGGAGATGCTGGCATTTAACTCATAAGGCACAGAAATTTGATTTATGTATTCTCTCATAGTTGTAAATTCTGTGGAACTGGGTACTTAGAAATGGAAACAGTAACTAATCAACCAGATTATCACTTATATTAAGGTGGTATTATGTTGCTTATGTGATGCTTCTTTCTATCTGTAGCTAAATATTCAACGCACACAGAAAAAAGCTTTTGTTGACTTCAATGAAGGAGAAATCAAGTTTATCCCCACATATAAGTATGACTCTAAAACAGACCGATGGGATTCCAGGTAAAGTAATAAGAATATTCTCACAGAACAGATTAAGGTGTGATCTTATTTCTGTCCTTCCTAAGAAACTAGGAATTTTTTAGGTCATACCATCAGCAGAGATTTAAAAACCTAATGGTTCAGTGCTACTACAGAAAATCTTTTTAAAATTATTCCTGTGTACTCAAAGGTAAATTTATCTTAGGAAAGTATTACTTATATGTCAGGGCTGGTAAAGTTTATGGGATACCTGCCTTGTTTCTGTTACTTCAGCAAACTTGCTTTGATTTTTACCTTCTGATCTTGCCCCTATTTTTTACCTACTGCCCTTCCTGGCCCTTTCCCCAAAATTGCTTCCTACTTACTTAACTCAGAATACCAGAAAGTAAAAATACAGAGCCATGAAAGGTTCTTCTATCATAGTAGTTCTCAATCCTCAGAACATATTTAGAATCCCTTAGGGAGCTTAAATACCTGGATCCTACATCTGATGCTGCTGGAGAAAACCATCTAGTCCCTTTCATTTCCTAATCACTCCAGTACAGTAGCCCTGTCAATACATTCTTGGTAACTATTTGTCCTCTACCTACTATTTCTTTATTTCTTATAGTTTCTTAGCTGGCTAAACACAGAAACTTGAAAGAGAAAGAGAATTCCTGGGCATGCTCAGCTATTTCAGTCTCTGAGAGCACTGGGGTGGGATAAGGTGGAAGAGTCTATTCCTACTCTCAGGGAGCTAGTCAGCAAATGAAAAATGACACTGGTAGATCTTGTACACCTTGGCCTCATTTCTTCCACTCACTTGACTTAAGATCCAACTGAGTACCTACTGATAAATATTTATGTCACCTTCTAGATCAAGTGTACAAGGCTTGCTTATTTTCACAGAATGATAAACAGGTTTTTTCCTACCCTTGGTATTAGAGACTGTTATATGCTCAGAGTTGCATGCATAGATGCTAATTTATCTCTGTCAGAGAAGCTGGATTTTCCATAAAGTCTGGGTCTAAAGGAGAAATCTCTACTAGCTTTCTCCAGAGATTGAGCCAGTCTAGGACAGACCCGGTGTAGCTAGCTATCTTTTGTGAAGTACAATTGCAGTTCATAGAGCAAAGGAAGAGAATTGAATCCTTACCTTCTGTGGATATTTTAAGAAGGTGCTGTTATATTTTCTCCTCTGGGGACATTGTTGAAGATGTGATCCTAATCTTAGGAGAACCATTTAATCATTCATTCCATAATCATTCATTGAACACCTACTTTGTACCAGATACTATACTACGTACTAGGAGTTCAGTGGTAGATAGGCAGACAGAGTCCCTTAACAGAGCTTGCCGTATAGTGGAGAAGATGATAGGGTTGTTCAGGAAGGAGTTCACGGTTCCTTGGGAGCATATGACAAGACCTAGCCAGGTCTAAACCAGCATGTGTTATTATGTTCTTGTGTGGTATGTTCTCTTTATAACTCATTTCTTTATTTACAGTGGAAAGTGTCGGGTTCCAGCCTGGTGTGACCGAATTCTTTGGAGAGGAACAAATGTTAGTCAGCTTCATTACCGTAGTCACATGGAACTGAAAACCAGTGACCACAAACCTGTTAGCGCCCTCTTCCATATTGGGGTAAACACTGGTTTTGTTTGTTCATTCATTCATTTGTGTGTTAAGTATGTATTTCTAAAGACTCAGAGCAGATTAGTAATTCAGTGAGCTACAAATGTTCTGTAACCAAATAATCATTTGTAGCCCTGAACCCTCACAAATGCTGTCCTTAAAGTTCTTCACATGCCAGGCCTTTTAGTAACAGAGTTTCCTCATGCAACATATTGGTTGGGTGGTAACCTGAGCCTCCTAAAGTCAATAGCATAGAGGAGAGCTAGAAGATAGGTTTTAAAAGAAACGTAGCTTTTCATCAGATAGATGGTAAGGAAGGGAAACACCAGGAGAGGGTCTGGGTAGAGGAGTGTTTACAGGCAGAGCAAAAGCACAGACTATGACAAAAAAAAATCCCTATATCACCTTAAGAGATACAGTGTCATCCCTACTACAGTGAAGTCCTCCTGCCCAGGAGCATAGGTTTTAACTTTTTCTTTTACATCTTGGCCTGAACTAATGGCCATTTATTTAATGTTTTGTCTCTATTATTAATAAAGTTTTTTCCCATTGCATTTTTAACTTTGTTATTACTGTGCAGATTATATCTTATAATTTTGCTGACTTAGTGCAGCCAGTACATTTACATTATTTCTCATGGATTTTCCACACCTGTGGTCATGTAATCTGTCACACTGTATCTCATGCACTGCTTAGTAGGATGAAATTTATAGTAGACTACTTCAATTTGCATCCCAGCTCAACAACTTTCTAATTGTGTGACCATGGACAATTTATGTAACACCCCTATACCTCAGTTTCCTCCTTTATAATATATGGGTAATAAATAGTACCTACTCATGAAGATTAATGAATTCAGACATGCAAAAACCATAGTGGGATAGATTTCTTTCCTCTGTGTTTATGTTAATTTTGGGGCTTCTGAGATAGGTATCACCAATGTGTCTTATCCTGCTCCTCTTTTAAGAAGAGTGGCTTTAGTGTTTTTCTATGAGGAACAAAATTAGTTCTTGGTCTTAGAATATATTTTAGTCTAGCTTTTTGTTTTTTGGAGATATTGGGGTTGAACTCAGGGCCTTGCTCTTGTAAGACAGGTGCTCTACCTCTTGAGCTATGCCCCCAGCCCTTAGAATATATTTTAAATTTTGTTAAAATCAATGGCTTTATTTTTTGTCCACTTTCAAATTTTATTATAAATTTAAGTGTATTTATTTTTAATTGTTGTGCTGGGGGTACATTGTGGCATTTACAAATGTTCTTATAATATATCAAATATATCATAGTTGAATTCACCCCCTCCATCATTCTCTTTTATCCCCCCTACTCCCATTCCTGGAATAGTTTCAACAGGTCTCACTTTTCCATTTACCTACATGTGTGAACAGTATTTGCACTATATTCACCTACACCCTTTCCCCACATCCTCCCCTCTCACACTGGCACCAACCCCCCCACCACCACCACCAGTCAGGATCTGTTCCACCCTCCTGTTCTCTGTTTTTGTAAAAGAAAAAAATAACATTTTTTTGTTTAAGATTGCCGCACAGGGAGTTTCCTTGCAACATTTCCATGTATATATGCATTATAACCCAAATTGATTCATCTCTATTTTTCTTCTTTCTACCTTAGTTCCCTCCTATGGTGATTTTAACACGTTTAAAAATTCTGTATTCATTCTTACAGAGAGAGTGCATCAACCACATTCACCTTCTTAACTTCCTTCTTTTATCTGCCCTTTCTCGTATGTGACCCTTCCCTTAAGAGTGACCTGTTTTCATAATATTGCTGTATTTGTATAAAGTCTATATTCCACATGTGAGAGAAAACATGCGGCTTTTGCCTTCTGAACCTGGCTAACTTCACTTAAGATGATGTTCTATCCATTTACCTGTATTCTTCTTTGTGGCTGAATAAAATTCTATAATGGGGCTCTTTTAAACTTGGGATCAAACTGACAGCTTTGTGCATGCTAAGCATGTATTCTACCACTGACCTATACCCCCAGCCCCTATTTTGAAAAATTTAAATGATATAGTATATAGCAACTAGTAGCTATATACCAGGAACTGTGGTGCTAGGCAATTTGCACACATCTCATTTATTTTCTACACTTTGACTTAGCTATTTTCCACTTAACAGATGAGCAGATAGAGAACCAGGAAGTTTAAACAACTTCTTTGAGAGCATTCAGCTAGAAGAAGAGCTGAGATTCCAGTCTTAAATTTGTCTAACTCCTAAACCTGTGCTCTTTCCACTACCCCACAATGCCCCTATAGTTTTAAGTACTTACTGACTGAATATGCCTTCAGACACTACTTTCAGCCTACCTAATTCCAGTTTGTACCTTGGGGCTACCTTTCTTCATTTGAATTCTCTTAATCCATTTTAAGAGAATGTCAGCTATGCTTGGCTTTTTTATTTGTGTTTGTGTTCAGAACCTTGGAATATTTTTAACACAACAAACACATTAATTCAGAGCTTCCAGTAGGATATTTAGATTTTTTCCAGGCTTGGACTAGGGCCTGGCTCAAGTGGTAGAGCACTTATTATCTAGTAAGCACCAGTTCTTGAATTCATTCCTCAGTACCACCAAACATTTTTTCCAAGCTTACTGTATATTTTTGTATATATTTAATAAAGGTATACCTTTTTGGTTTTTAATGATTTCTAAATTGTGCAGCATTTAAAAGAGATTTTCCTTTAAAGATCTAAATACAAGTTACAGATAAGGCTGAAGTTCTTCAATCCCCAATTCCAACCTTGCCTAAATTCTTATTCCCTAGCCGGGTCAACTCCTCTTATGAGTTTGTATCTTTCTAGACTACCATTGTCCGCTAGAGCTTTCTGTGATGATTGAAATATCCTTTTTCTGTGCTGTCCAGTCTGGTAGCTATTACCTGCAGGTGGCTATTGAACACTTACAATGTAGCTAGCAGCTATTATATTGGATGTTGCAATTCTAGACCTTTTCATATGCCTTTCTGTTTACCCATAAACAAAACAGTTCTGTATATAGGTATATATACTATAAATTGTCTAGTACTGTATGTGTTGGTCAGAAACTTGATTTTTTTCAACATTTGATCGTGTGTCTTAGAGAGTTATCCATGTCATTATGCAGAGATCTAGCTCATTGTACTTTTCTCTGAATTCCTAATTTTGTTGGTGGTGACTTTTTTTGGGTTCCCCTCCCATTATCCTTGATGTGCCATTAAGTCATGTTAACCACTGAGAAAAGATTTGCTTTTATTGAGTAACCACTCCATACTTTGGACTCTTGGGCATGCTATGATTAGAGGCTTTAAAAACCACATTATGTTTTCATTACCATTGGCACCAACCACTGTTAGCAAAGGAGCCAGTGTTCTGTGGCCAATTAATTTCAGAAGACTTGTTGTGGGCTGATTAAGATTAAGCTAAAAAAGAGTTTCACCCCTGCAATTGGTACTGTGGTCTGTTACATTGGTTCTTAGATTTCAGTGGACATAAGAATTGCCTGTAGTGCTTTTAAAAATGTTTAGATACTTGGGCTCCACCCCTCAAGGATGTGATTAGTAGGCCTACGCAACTTACCCAAGCTGATTCTGTCACATAACTGGCATTTTTGGAAAAGGTCCAGCTAATGGTCCAGATGTCACCTTTGGTATTAACTATGGCAGTGAGCAAGCTAGCTGATGTCTTGTATCTCAGTGTTCTCAACTATCAGAATATTCCTTATTTTGGTAGGCTTGCAGGTTGTGAGCATAAGTAGATGTGTATAAAATACATTTTTTAAAATAAAAAGAAAATTTTATAAAAGTGTAAAATTCATCCTAACCTAGCACTATGTATATATGTGGACCCTGATGATGCTCTAACAGTTATGTCTGTTTGCCTCACCTTTGATATTCTGTTTCCCATACCTGCTTTAGAACCTTTGCTGTGTACATGATTCTTTTTTGACATGGATTTTTGTAACTTTTTTTAATTCTAAAAAGGAAACTGTTAATAAGTTAAAATGTTATTTTAATTTTTGGCATTCATTTAAGAATTTTAAAAAGCACAGCTGTATCAGGGAGGAAATTTTTTGATCTATTAGTCTAGATGATTTGTTTGTTGTCATGGTTTTACTCTAGTCTAGGATATTTTGTGTCAGGCATTTTCTAAAATGGCCATAGGTTCCATTTACTAACATAATATACTTTGCCATTATATAATCTGAGCAGTGATATTATTCTTAGCATTGTGCATAGCAACTAATGAAGTTAAATGCTTTAATCATGTTTTCTGCAGTTTCACTACTTTATCATGATTGTTAGAAATAGTTATAGTTATATTTTGACACAATCATTTGTACATTGCAAGAAATCATTTTTGACATATCATCACATTTTCTCCACCACTAAATTACTTAACAATGGGAAAAGAAAATATTCTTTCCAAATATTTATTATGAAGCTTCTTAACTTTTCCAGGAAGTTCCACAGTTAACCTTATCTTTACCTTAAAGTACATGTGTGTTTCTATAATGCTTACTACTTTACATTTGCTTTCATGACTTTAAAAAATTGCTAGAGACTCTTAGAGATATAGAAGTTGAGAGCACATAAGACTAAATAAGGATCTGTTTTCTTTCAGGTGAAAGTTGTGGATGAAGCAAGTTTTTGAAGATGTTGTTTGCACCACAGTTTATTTTAAATGATTGCTGTAATGACCAGGTTTAAATTGTTAGATAATCTCAAAGAGAGATGAGCTAGGAGCACGTAAGACTAAAAAGAGGGTTTGCTTTCTTTTAGGTGAAGGTTGTGGATGAACGGAGGTATAGGAAGGTATTTGAAGATATTGTACGCATCATGGACAGAATGGAAAATGACTTCCTTCCTTCCTTAGAACTCAGCAGGAGGGAGGTGAGCAAAAATACATAGCCTCTTGTCTCCTGCCCATTGTGATCAGCATAAAGGAAGCTATGTTACTTAGAAAAAGCATCGAGGCTAAGTGGTTAAGACTGTGTGCTACAGTCAGACTGCTTCAGTTCTAGTCCCAGCACTGTCATTTAGTAGAGGCAGGAGGTATCTTATCCTCTTGGAACTGTAGCTTCCTTTTCTGGATTGAGGGTAGTTACAAGGATTACATGAGTCTTAGAGCAGGGCCTGTCACCTAGTAAACCCTCATGCCAGCCAATCTTATTTAATGTTTCAGACTATCTGATTAATTCCTATCTCAGGACCAGGACTTGGTCATGGACTGAGGACCCTAGACCAAGGTCGTGTTATCCTCTTATAATCCCAGAAACAGAGTAGTTTAGAGAAGGAACAAGAGACACCGAACTCCTTCTCTGCTGCTGTGATTTTAATAATGTGTGAAAGTAATGACGTGAAGTTGACTCAGTCGGTGAATGCGTATGACAGTTACACTTCATTAATAATTACCTTATTCTTTATTCATATTTTCTATGGAATAATCCAACTGACTTACTCCCCCTACTAGTGATGCATGGTGTGTCTGTCTGTTATTCCCCAGTTTGTGTTTGAGAATGTGAAGTTTCGGCAACTGCAAAAGGAGAAGTTCCAGATCAGCAACAATGGACAGGTTCCCTGCCATTTTTCTTTCATCCCTAAACTTAATGACAGCCAGTACTGCAAACCATGGCTTCGGGCTGAACCTTTTGAGGGCTACTTGGAGCCAAGTGAGTTTTCCCTTTACTGTTGTCTCTGTCTGCCATGTGCCATCTCCTCAAGAGTCCCACCTCCTTGGTTTAACCTCTTGTTTTCTAACCATATGTCTCTTACCTTCACTGTCACATTGGTGACACCTTTTTTGTGTTTCCAATCTCCCCCTTTGTTGCTTGGTGATTTTTTTAGAGGATACTAGTTCTGTCAGTTCTCATACCTTTTTGCTTTTCCACTGGAAGTTTCTGTGTTTTCATTTATCACCTCTTATATTGCAGATGAGACAGTGGACATTTCTCTTGATGTATATGTCAGCAAAGACTCTGTGACCATCCTGAACTCAGGGGAAGATAAGATTGAAGATATTCTTGTCCTTCACCTGGATCGAGGCAAAGATTACTTCTTGACCATCAGTGGAAATTACCTCCCAAGTTGTTTTGGTACATCCTTAGAGGCTTTGTGCCGAATGAAAAGACCAATCCGAGAAGTTCCTGTCACCAAACTCATAGATTTGGTAAGAAGCATTCTAAGATATAAACTTCCTTACATATAATTTTCATCATATTTAACTGATGACCTCATCATGTCTATGCTTTCTCTCTTTTTTTGGGCAGGGGGACTGTCAAGTGACATGTAAGAAGGTCACTTTATCCTAGCACTGCTTTGATTAGATTAGCCTCAGAAGAAAGAAGAGAGATTAATCTGTAGTTAGCTCTTGTTGGGAATATAATATGTAATACTAAGTTCACCAAATATAAATATAATGCATATTTGGTAAGCTGTTCATGCTCTCAAGTCACTTTTGTATACGTTGTACATACAAGTGCCATGCATTATTATCCTCATTAAACATATGAGAAAACTGAGGCACAGAGACATTACTTTGCCCAAAGTCAAAGAAGTGAGTGACAAATCTATGACCCAGGTTTTCTGACTCCTGCTCCAGTATTCCTCCCTATACCACATTCTGTCTAATCACAATAAAACTTCACTTTATTTGGGAGCCAAGACCTATAGTAGAAACTTGGAGTACCTGAATCACAGTACAGGTTCCTCCTAGCAACAGATTCAGAATCTCAGGGGGACCTATGAATCTGCATTTTATCAGCATCCCAGATGATTATAAAAAATGTACGTTAAGACTTAATATTTATCTAATGTGACTCAAGGAAGAAGAGAAGATGATTTCCTCCTTCCTTCCCCAAGTCAAGTTATAAGAACAATGTCCTTAAGAGGGAAATGCATATCGTTTTCAGGGACATAAATTGATTTAATAACAAGTTCATCCTATTAAGAACTTTTCTTCTAAATGAAAATATTGTTGGATTTGTGTGCAGACCTCTTTAGGCTACAGAAGTGTTTTGGTCTTTTATCAAAAAAAATGAGCAAAATAACAATCAAATATTATTGTTACCACTACTATTCATATTCATCTCTTGGGCCTAGCCAGGGCAAGTGATTGTATCCTCTAGCAGAGGGGACTAGACCAATGGGCAGGCTGCTTACTTGTCTGAGTATGATCTGTTCTGTTGCCATAATGAACCCAGCAGATTAAAGCACTTGAGTCCAGTCCCAGAATTCTTTCTTATTCTACCATTCTGCTATTTCTCAAAATTTTTTCCTTTTACCACCATATTCCTATCTTTCAAACTTAGTATTTTATCTTTTAGAATACATTTGGAGTGATGGTTTTTTTTTCCACACTCATCCCTTCATCCAAAGCACCATTTCCTAGCTTTCCTTGTTCCAGCTTTTTATGAAAAATGTTAAATATGTAGAAAAATGAAAGAATAATACAACGAACCCTCACATATTTTATATACATATGCATATACACACATTTTACTATACCATTTGAAATTAGGTGGTCATATCATATCAGTTCACCACTAAACATATCAGCCTGTGTCTCTTTTTTGTTTTGTGGGGCTGGGGTTTGTTTGAACTCAGGGCTTCACGCTTGCAAAACAGGCACTCTACTGTTTGAGCCACACCTATAGTCCATTTTGCTCTGGTTATTTTGGAGATAGGGTCTAGCAAACTATTTGCCTGGGCTGGTCTCAAGCCCCAGTCTTCCTGATCTCAGCCTCCCAAGTAGCTAGGATTAGAGGTGTGAGCCACTGGCACCCAGCTCAGCCTGCATTTCTTAAGAAAAAGGACAAACTTCTTCACCACTAATATACCTAAGAAAACTAATAGTAATACAGCCAGGCATGATAGCACACTACTATAATCCTAGTATTTGGGAGGCAGAGGCAGGAAGATCATGAGTTTGAAGTCAGCCTGGGCTACATAACAAGTTCCAGGCCAGTCTTGGCTCCTGAGCTATATAGCGAAACACTGTTTCAAAAAATAAAATAAAATAAAAAGCCCCAGTAATCCACAATATCATTCAACATCTAGTCTATATTCATATGTTTCCAAATGTGCCACCAATTTGTTTTATAGTTTTTTCCTTTTTTTTTTTTTTTGCAGTCCTGGGATTCAAACCCAGAGGCTTGTGCTTGCTAGGCAAGCACTCTCTATACCACTAAGCCATATCCCCAACCTTTTTATAGCCTTTTTAAAATCAAAATGCAATCTAGGCTCATGCAATAAGTCTGGTGAAGTCTCTATATCTCTATCAGAGTAAAACAATTTTTCATTTGTTTCTTTAATGTCATTTCCTTTTCAAGTTTAGTACAATTTAGTCAAAGGTATACTGTCTCCTAAATTTGTCTGAGTGTTTCTTCTTGGTATTTTAAAACTTATTCCTGTATATTCTCTTCCCCTTTTTTTTCTGTGAGCTATAACTCAGCTTATTTTTTTGTCAAAATCAGTGGAGTCATTATAATACCTTTTACCATAATTTTTACACATTCTGGTAGTAGCTCGATCATCATAAAAAGTTTTGATTTTACATAAAATGTATTATCAGGTAATTCTATCACATTTGTCCATAAATACAAAGTAGCTAAAATCATCAGAGGAGTCAATGGCTCTGTAAGGAGCCTTCTTCCTTCTTTATGCAGAAGTGATTCAAGGTTTAAAAAGTAGAACCCTGATAATTTTTAATTACAGGATTGATGAGATCATGTTAAATTGTGTATTCTGGTCATCGTTTATTCTTTTAAAGATTTTTATTTTGTAGGATTTAGTTCTTATTCTTTTCACAGTCTGTTGCATTTTAATGTTATTAAATTCCTGTATTTCATTGATAAGGAAGTTGTCCATATTAGTGTGAGTAAACTAGAAATCTGAAATAATCAGTACCCTATTCTTAATACCTTTCTATTCTTTCTTGACTTGCTTTTGACTTTCTGAAATGCTTCTTTGGGTCTAATGTTTGCTCATGGTTTTTTGCCAAGACCCAAGGTGATATTTCAAATTCCATTAAACAATGCCATTAATAGTGGTACCTATCTTCTATTGTACTATATACCTTAATAGTGGTACCTGACTTGTATTGCATTATGTACTGTAAAATTATGGTGAAGCCAGAAATGAGTTCAGTACACATATTTTCTCTCCACGTACTGTTTCAGAAAGATTCTTGTGCCACAACTTCTTTTCACCAAATGCAGGATGAAATAACTGGCATAAGTCCTGTCCATTCTTCCTGCCATTCTCAATGACAGTGACTTTGCCAGCCCTAGAATAATTGGGATTAGTACAAGTGGGAAATAGATAACAATTATTTTTATTCTTTTCCAGAGTTAAGATAGATTTTTCTGTTCTGTTAACTAGCATATTAAGCAGAAAGTGAGTGTCAATATTTATTTATTACATATTCGATATATTATTGTATAGAGTTTATGTGAGTTCCTGTAATTTAGTGGTCATGAAAGTATACTTGCATGTACAATATGGCTAAATTCTAATCATGGTTAATGGAGAGCTCGGTTAGAGATGATCTGAGCATTAACAATCTTTACTGTTAAATGTTCACTATATATTGGTAAGTCAGTATTTTGGAAAGTCATTTAAAATGAATGTTATGGAGCTTGAAATTTGTATTAACAATAGATTCCTTTCCTGTGCTGTTTACTCAAGCCCTTATATGGTATAAAAAGTTTATTGATTGACCAGCTAACCTCTGTAAAAATCAATCTCAGAATCAGCCTATTTTTGTTTTAATGAATATTTGATGTTTGTAACATAACATTAACATGATCTAGAAATAACTTCAGTACATATGAATAAAGTAAATTAGAAAAGGGACTTGAGGTATTTTCAATCATGTCCAAGTACTTAAGAATCATGTATTCATATATATTGGGTGAATAGGCTCTTCCAGGCACAAGGGACAACTTGAATAAAGTACAAAAGGTAAAAGTGAAAGACCATGTATGAAAAATTATAAGATTTTCCAGGAAGGTGTGAACAGTAAGGATGAGCACATGTGAAGCTGTTTTTGTAGGAAGGGACAGACAACAGAGTCTTGAAGTCAGCACATGAGCTTATACTTGAGCTAGTTCAGAAGGCTTTGAGGTTTAGCATAAAGTTATAAACTGATGAGTTAAAGGAGCATTCTGGTGTTGCTTATAAAAGTATCCAGTGGAAAGGAGACCAAGCTTGAACTGCCACATCTGGTTAAGGGTTTTGGTTTAAATACAAAGATGAAAAATTTGAGGGATTGGTGAAGAGCTATATTTACTTGGGAGCATATCTTTTAGGATGATATAAAAAGTTTGAATAACAGGAATAACAACTTGGTAATGAATTCATTCTCAGTGATCTCTTCACTAGAGGTTTATTTTGTCTTACTGATTTAACCACTCATTTCTTATCCTGTTAGGTATATGATTTGTTTCTTCTCCATATTTCATGTGAGCTAATCCTTTTGAGAACTTCAGTTTCCATTCAGTTTTTGGCTTTTTATTTTCAAATTTGAATCTTCTGCCTCTAAATAACTCTATTGTTTTACCAGCATTTACTACTGGAGACATTCTTATAAGGGTAAATGTTGGGGTAAAGAATGATTTGCATTGTACTTCATTTCCATTGCTGCCCCACTGGGGAAATCCTGAACTGAGTTCCCCTTTTTAATGTAATCAACACATAGCCTTTTACAGAGTAGGCATTTTTAACCTTTAAACTCCATTGAACTAAGTGATTTGTAGTAACCTTAGGACCATGGAGCTTAAGTGATGTTTCTGTTTTCAAAATTGAGACCAGTGTTGTATTAAATATACTTTACATCTATTTTCTTTAGGCCCATACCCAAAGAAGTAAACTCTCAATGTAAATTTGCTGCCTGTCCACCAGTATTTAATCCCAGTCCTTTGGATTCTTCTTAGAGAATTTTCTCTTTTATGCATTCCTTTAGTTGTGTTATCGAGGATGGAATCCAGGTCCTCACACCTGCTTGACAAGTGCTCCACCACTGAGTTATGTCCCCTGCCTATCCATCAATTTTTAAAAATATTTCCCATATTAGTTTTTAAGGTGTTTATTCTTTCCTACTTGACCTACCTTCACAGCCTTTTAATGTCCCCCTTTCCTTCTGTCTCTGCCCTTCAGTTTTTCCTGGTCGGGGCTGTCCAATTGATACTTCTATAATACTGCGTTGGAGTCTATCATTTCCTTGTTTAAAGGTAGTCAGCGGCTCCTCAGGCCTTAACTTGTTATTCAATGTCACATTTATTGTCCGTATTTTTTTCAACTATTTTTCTTAGGATTCTGTAATCTTAGCTTATGTGCTCCACAAGCTAGATGATTCACTTCTTAAGCTTATACTGTGATTTTTCTTTCCCATGCCTTTGTTTATTTCTGCCTCTTCTACATTTTTTTAGAGATGGGGGTCTCGCTATGTTACCCAGTCTGGCTCCCAACTCCTGGGCTCAAGCAATCCTCCCGCTTCACTACAGGCATACTCCACTGTGCCTTGTCTTGCCCCTTCTACTTGGAATAGCCCCTCCCTATCTCTTTAAAATCTTATGAATTGGGTTGGGAGTGTAGCTCAGTGGCAGAGTGTTTGCCCAGCATGCACAACATGCTCTGGATTCCATCCCACCCCCACAAAATTTTTTATTTAATCCCGGGACTCTTTTAGGGGCTAGTAACCATTCATTGGGAACTTATACATGTGAATTTTAGCAATATCAGGCCTAAATTGTGGAACTCCTTACCGCAACGTAATCGCAAACCATAGTCAGAGTCTAACAACGCCTTTCTCCATGTGTTCTCGTTTCTCATTGCCCTTCCCCCAAAGATATTTAGCACAAAACCTTGCACTTGTAGATGGTCATTACTTGAAGGAAACTTCTTTTTTTTGCCCACTTCTACTTACTCTTCATGGAAGAAAAAATACAAAGTCTGTTAGGTAGGTGAATTCTTTATTTGTTAACAAGTACAC